TGTTGACCAGGATGGTCTCGATCTCTTGACCTCGTGATCCACCCGCCTCGGCCTCCCAAAGTGCTGGGATTACAGGCTTGAGCCACCGCGCCCGGCCTTTGTCTCCCTTTAATTGAGATTTTGTTTTACACTTTGGGGTCATGTTTCTTTTTCTTGGAGACAGGGTTTTGCTTTGTTGCGCAGGCTGGAGTGCAGTGGAGTGATCTTGGCTCACTGCAGCCTCCGCCTCCTGGGTTCAAGCAATTCTTGTGCCTCAGCCTCTTGAGTAGCTGGGATTACAGATGCCTGCCACCACCTCTGGCTGATTTTGTAGTATTTTAGTAGAGACGGGGTTTCACCATCTTGCCCAGGCTGGTATTGAACTCCTGAGCTCAGGCATTTTGCCTGTCTCAGCCTCCCAAACTGCTAGGATTACAGGCTTGAGCCACAGCACCTGGCATTTTTCTGTTTTTTTGAGATGGAGAGTTGCTGTCACCAGGCTAGAGTGCGGTGGCGTGGTCCAGATATGTATATGTATTCATATATATAAATAAATGGAGTGAGGCATTAAATCCTACTAATGCCTATGTGTATTCGCATATACGTACACACACATAGTTATTACGGGTGTACATACTTCTTTTCTCTCTTTGCGTGGCTAACTCCTTGTCCATTATTTCTCAGCCGAAATCTCTTAAGGGATTCCTAGGTCAGCCTGTCTAGGTCCTAATTACACCTCTCCTCTACCTCCATTTCTTCTTCATTACTTTCTTGAATATTCAACTAGAATGCAATCTTCATAAGGCTTATGTTTGTTCTAGTCACCATTATATCCTTATTACCTAGCATAGTCTGACACAGAATAGGAGCTCAGTAAGTGTGTGGATAACTTAAATTGAATAATCCTGGCCAACAATGACTAGCAATGACTAGTAGTGTCAAATACTTATGTAATAATCTGTTTTTTGTTTTGTTTTGTTTTGTTTTCTGAGACGGAGTCTCGCTCTGTCACCCAGACTGGAGTCCAGTGGCGTGATCTCGGCTCGCTGCAGCATCTGCCTTCTGGGTTCAAGTGATTCTCCTGCCTCAACCTCCCGAGTAACTGGGACTACAGGCACGTGCCACCATGCTCAGCTAATTTTTGTATCTTTAGTAGAAACTATCAGGAGATAGTCTCCATCTCCTGACCTTGTGATCCTCCTGCCTCAGCCTCCGAAAGTGCTGGGATTACAGGCATGAGCCACCACACCCAGTCAGTTATGTAATAATCTTATTAGAGAAAGTTTAAAATACTTAGGTAGCATATATTAGGCATTTGTACATACAACCTCGAACAATAACATTCTAGTTAACTAGACATATTTTTATGTATATGCATTGACATGGAGACTGGGAGGTAAAGGAGAACACAGCAGCGGTTTGTTTTTGTTGGGACAGAGTCTTACCCAGGCTGCAGTGCCGTGGTGTCTTCATAGCTCATTGCAACCTCAAACTCCTGGATTCAAGTGATCCTGCTGCCTCAGCTTCCTGAGTAACAGGAAGTACAGGCATATGTTATCATGCCCGGCTCATTTTTTTTTTTTTGTAGAGACAGGCTCACTATGTTGCATAGGCTGGTCACAAACTCTTGGCCTCAAGGGATTCTCATGCACCAGCCTCCCAAAGCACTGGGATTACAGGATTGAGCCACCATACTTGGCATCAGTACTGACAGGAGCACCAGATCTCTGCCAACAGATTTGAGACCTAATTTTAAGTCTCACTGGGGTGGATCAAGAATTAAGAAACATCTATGGATCCAGCTGGGAAAACAACATGGGTAGACAACACAAATTGGACAATAGATTTGTGTATCTAGCAAAGCTTATGGCAATAGTAAATTGTAACACGTGACTACACAGTGAAAGCCAACTTTCTGAGAGAGATACCTTTTATGCCAGAAGCTTCTAACCTAACTAAGCTGTTTTTAGGGTTTTCTTTTTTACAGTGCTTAAGAAGCTATACTTTTTCTGTGCCCGTGTGTGTATTTTTTTCAGGAACATTCTGAAGTTGCAAAGCCTTCTGAAGTGTGATAATTACAGTCTCTTTAATTTGTGTCTCCTCTTTATTTTTACTATCACTCTAAGTCAGGTAATTTTTTTGTCTTTTCAGATATTTAGCTTCTTGTGGTATACTGATGAGCAGAACTCTTCCACTACATACCTCAGTTTTGCCTAAGGAAATATGTGCAAGAACTTTCTTCAAAATTGCTGCACCATTAATAAACAAAAGGAAAGAATATTCAGAGAGAAGAATTTTAGGGTTTGTATATAAGAATTCTACTAAAAGAACATGTTCATAATTTTCTGTAGGATATCCTGCCTCTTTCTCTCTGGATTATCTTCTTACAGACTAACTCTGTTTTTTCTAGGTTGGCCTTTTTCTTTCTTCTTTTTTGTTTGCTTTGACATGGAGTCTTGCTCTGTCACCCAGGCTTGAATGCAGTGGTGCAATCTTGGCTCACTGCAACCTCCACCTCCTGAGTTCAAGCGATTCTCCTGCCTCAGCCTCCTGAGTAGCAGGTGCGTGCCACCATGCCTGCCTGATTTTTGTATTTTTAGTAGAGATGGGCTTTCACTACGTTGGGCAGTTTGGTCTCGAACTCCTGACCTTGTGATCCACCTGCCTCAGCTGCCCAAAGTTCTGGTTACAGGTGTGAGCCACGGCTCTCAGCCTAGGTTGGCTTTTTTCATAGCCTTGGCTATTTTACAAATATTTCTTGAATGAATATAATTCTATAGTAACTTTTTAGTATAGACTTAAATCTTTGACATGTAAAGAAAATTATGATCTACATTTTTTTGTACATTGTTCTTTTCTTTAGTAGCAACATCACTGATACATTGGGCCATATGTTTAGATAGCTTCCTCATGTACAGACATACATAAATAAGTACATACATACTAAAGCTCCTCATCTAGAGCCTTTGATAAACTGTTTCTGTAAAGGGACAGAAAGTAACTATATTAGGTTTTGTGGGCCATAGAGACTGCTCAGCCATGTCACTGTAGTCCAAAGGCAGATATAGATAATATGTAAATAAATGGGTGTGGCCACATTCCAGTAACACTTTATTTACAAAAACAGGTGATGAACCAGGTTTGGCTCCTGATCTAGGGGTAAATAGAGCAGATAATAAAGACACTACAGTTCTGCTAAATCAGAAATACACCATCCCTCCTTAGAGGAATTTCTACAAGTGGCTCTTAATTCCCAATTGGCCATTAAGTATTACATGAAGCTTTGTAAAAGTACATTTCATTAATTTTACTCATTAGCTTTTGTTCTTCTTTTTTTTTTGAGACGGAGGTTTCACTCATGTTACCCAGGCTGGAGTGCAATGGCGCGATCTCGGCTCACCGCAACCTCCGCCTCCTGGGTTCAGGCAATTCTCCTGCCTCA